TTAAATTGCATATCGGGCAGAGTTAAATTACCTGTAGCTAATGGGAAAGGTTTTGCAGTTCTATGGTAGTAGAACAAAAGGCAAGGTTTTGGGGAATTGTCAACTGCCCAAGGAGAAATTTTTGATCAAATGCTAACAGCTTTATAGATAATTAGAAATCAAATACTGGAAAATTAGCTCAAACGAAGTCCTCTTCTTCTCCATAAAAAAAATTATATAAATAAATGTAATCCAACAAATCTTCCAACTGTTTTTAATGTTCTTTTTTTGTTTCTGCATTTTTTTATTTTATTTTATTTATTTAATTTTTATACAGGTGCTGGTCATAAAATTAGAATATCATGAAAAAGTTGATTGATTTCAGTAATTCCATTTAAAAAGTGAAACTTGTATATTATATTCATACATTACATACAAACTCATATATTTCAGATGTTTATTTTGTTTGATTTTGATGATTACAAATGACAACAAATGAAAATCTCAAATTCATCATATCAGAAAATTTGAATATTGTGAAAAGGTTCAAAATTGATGGCCCCTGGTGCCACACTCTAATCAGCTAATTAACTCAAACCACCTGCAAAAGCCTTTAAATGGTCTTTCAGTCTAGTTCTATAGGCTACACAATCATGGGGAAGACTGCTGACTTGACAGTTGTCCAAAAGACGACCATCGACACCTTGCACAAGGAGGGCAAGACACAAAAGGTCATCGCTAAAGAGGCTGGCTGTTCACAGAGCTCAGTGTCCAAGCACATTAATAGAGAGGCGAAGGGAAGGAAAAGATGTGGTCGAAAAAAGTGTACAAGCAAGAGAGATAACCGCACCCTGGAGAGGATTGTGAAACAAAACCCATTCAAAAATGTGGGGGAGATTCACAAAGAGTGGACTGCAGCTGGAGTGAGTGCTTCAAGAACCACCACACACAGACGTATGAAAGACATGGGTTTCTGCTGTCGCATTCCTTGTGTCAAGCCACTCTTGAACCACAGACAGCGTCAGAAGCGTCTTGCCTGGGCTAAAGAGAAACAGGACTGGACTGCTGGTGAGTGGTCCAAAGTCATGTTCTCTGATGAAAGTAAATTTTGCATTTCCTTTGGAAATCAAGGTCCCAGAGTCTGGAGGAAAAGAAGAGAGGCACTTCATCCACGTTGCTTGAAGTCCAGTGTAAAGTTTCCACAGTCAGTGATGGTTTGGGGTGCCATGTCATCTGCTGGTGTTCGTCCATTGTGTTTTCTGAGGTCCAGGGTCAACGCAGCCACATACCAGGAAGTTTTAGAGCACTTCATGCTTCCTGCAGCTGACCAACTTTTTGGAGATGCAGATTTCATTTTCCAACAGGACTTGGTACCTGCACACAGTGCCAAAGCTACCAGTACCTGGTTGAAGGACCATGGTATCCCTGTTCTTAATTGGCCAGCAAACTCTCCTGACCTTAACCCCATAGAAAATCTATGGGGTATTGTGAAGAAGAAGATGCAATACACCAGACCCAACAATTCAGAAGAGCTAAAAGCCACTATTAGAGCAACCTGGGCTATCATAACACCTGAGCAGTGCCACAGACTGATCGACTCCATGCCACGCCGCATTGCTGCAGTAATACAGGCCAAAGGAGGCCCAACTAAATACTGAGTGCTGTACATGCTCATACTTTTCATGTTCATACTTTTCAGTTGGCCAACATTTCTATAAATCCTTTGTTTTTATTGGTCTTCAGTAATATTCTAATTTTCTGATATGATGAATTTGAGATTTTCATTTGTTGTCATTTGTAATCATCAAAATTAAACAAAATAAACATCTGAAATATATGAGTTTGTATGTAATGTATGAATATAATATACAAGTTTCACTTTTTAAATGGAATTACTGAAATCAATCTACTTTTTCATGATATTCTAATTTTATGACCAGCACCTGTATATTTTTTTTCCTCCTTGCTTTGATTCTGTTTTATCTTCCTCTATTTTAATCATGTAAAGCACTTTGCATTGTCTTTGTACTGAATTGTGCTATACAATAAATTTGCCTTGCCTTGCCTTAACAATATTACAGCTTTCATTGATTTATTTCAAATTTTAAACATTGTCTAGCCTGTAAGGTGTAAAAAACCCAAAAATGAACCAATTAATCGAATCGTATCGTGGTGTATTCTTGAGTATCGAAAATAATCAATTCATTGGGTCAGGAAATCGATACTGAATCGAATCGCCATGATGGATGTGATTTACACGCCTAGTATCGGTATCGGCCAATATTGCACAGTCAGGTATCAGGGCCAAAAAATGGCATCAGCGCAACACTACTTAATATATTATTTAAGTCATATTTTAGATATTTTGTGGTATGGAATTTCATTTCTTCTGATTTCAAAGAACTTTTGTTATTATTTTTAGATATTTTTTCAACAGAATAATTTTTTTATGAATCGCCTCCAGTATGAATATTTTTTTAATAACTATTATTTTGGCTTCAAGTGTTTATTTTATAATTTCATGCAAGAAATTAATTAGAAAAGAAAATACTAATCATACATGTTGGTAATTAAAGCAGCTGTTCACTACAGCCTCACTGCACTTAATTAAAATAACCTTGCCTAGGGCTGTTTGAGGATCAGTTCTATAAAATATGCATAAATATAAGATTGTGCTGTTAAAAGCAACTTCTTTAACAAAGTAAATGTTTTAGTCAATTTATAAAATTAGAATCCCATGATGGATGACCTTAAATATGAGTTAATGTAGTAAAGCCGAACAATTTCAAACAAATGCAAACTTGATCAAGGTGTTTAGAGCCAGTCATTCTAAATAAAGCTGCTATGGCAGAATTATGTGAACTTTAGATCAAATTATTACCTTTTATAACATAACGGATGCAGAACAGAAAGATGACATTTTCTTCTCCATCTATGTGAGAATTAATCCATCTTTTATTTACGGAAAGAGAGAAGAGATGACATTTCCTGCTGTTTTCAGGTTTACAGAACCTGATTATTTTTGTACTGAGATGACCTTTTGTTGTAAATAGGTGGGTAAAGGCCTGTGTAAAAAAACATTGAGTTCAAACAAACAAGTGGCGAAACGGTTTACTATGAAATGCAGATTTAAATACTTGCAAAGCTTTTCATCACCTAAATATTTTCCAGTGTATCATAAAGAATGAATAAAAAAAAAAAGAAAGCATGATTTTTTTGTATGATTTTTCATAAAAATAATAATATTCTATGCATTATGGCCATATTTTTTATCCTGGGCAACCTGGAGTTACTCTGGGTTATAAAAAAGAATTAAATACAATAAAAAAATGGAACTCATTTAATGCTTATGTGTCTTGACCAACAGTAATCTGATAGTCTGAACCATCTTCGACCGCTCCTGAGCCTTTTTGTTCTTTTTTCCCCCATTCTAACCGCTGTGTGGACACTTAATCCACAGATTAAAACATGGTGGTTTTATGATTTACACTTTCTTGTTTTAAGTTAATTTTCCTCACCTTTTTTTCAGTTACTCTCTGTATTATTTAAGTGTGCTTTTTAGTCATCCCTCCTAAACCTCTTAGTTCTTGTTTTCATGAGTTTAATTTTTTTTCATTAAATTTTCCTTCACTAACATACCTATCTGCTACCCGCTTAAGACTTTCTCCTCCACATGCCATGAAAGTGGTGGCAGCATGATGCTGTTGGATTTTTTTCGTTCATCAGGAACAGGGAAACTGGTCTGAGTAGGTTGGTAACGTGACTAAATCAGGATAACAATGGGAGGAAAGAGAAAGAAAAAAAAATAATCTAAAAAATAATCTGGAGCAAGACCTAAAATCTGGTGTTCACAAATGTTTTCCACTTTTACTTATTAAATTAAGCCATTTTCTACAAAGGAATGAGCCAAAAATCCATTCTGTAGATGCTGAAAGCCCATATAACAGACCAGAAAGACCTGCAGCTGTAGGATCGGAATAACGTGGTTCTAGAGCAGGTGTTCCCTGATTTCTCAGCCCACAACCCCAAAAATAACCATAACCCAGACTATACTTAGACTTAACTTTATTGATCCCTTGGGATTACTCCTTTAGGGAAATTCTGGTTCCATTAGCTTATATAGAGTACAAAGAGTACTCTATTTTATATCTAAGTTTTCCTTAGATATAAAAATATCTAAATATCTATTAGAGAGAGCTAAGGGAAGACTACAAAGTAGCTGACTTGGGTTATTGCACTTGTACTGCAGAAATGTACTGACCATATAAATAGGTGAAAATTAAACAGACTACAAAGTAGTTGAATTGTATATTGACTGCATATTCACTGTAATGTACCTTACTGAAATAAGTAAAAAAAAATTACACAAGCTACACAGTATTTGACATGTGTTATTGCACAATTGTGAGAGAGAAAAAAATCGCACAAGGACTGATCGACCCGTAAATCTTGTTTCGCTCATATCTGTGGACAAATATAGTAAAGTAATTGCATTTAGTTTTTAGTAAGTTCATTTTTAAAATTTTATTAATTTATTATTTACCATATGTATTTATATATCATATTTATTATTTTATTAGGAATTACATTTTTTGTTTACTGTAAGAGTTTAATAGATATGAATGAAATATCTAAACAAATCATGGTTTATTTATCCTTTTCTCTGGTCTAACATATATGACTTATTATATACCTAAGTGATAATATCAAAATAAATGTAAATATCATCTCAAAACTGCACCCTGTTCCCCAATATGAGAACACCTGTTCCAGGAGGTACTGGTTCAGGGGGGTTGAATTCACGTGCATGCCACACTTTTCAGGTTGCATTTTAAAACATGGTATAAACCCATAAATAGACTTAGTGTTTTTTGGGTTTTTTTTAACCTACTGCTTTGTTCTGTCGGTAGGATTTTGATAATTGCATTGTAGTTTAGACATAATATGAGAACACGTAAAGGATTTAATAATTAAAGCTGTATTTGAAGATTGTATCAGTACAGCTCAGTCGCAGTGAGAGAGCCATGTATCGGTGTGTGTGTTTATGTATCTCTGCCTTTTCTCCCTCAACTCTCGGAACTTTCCCACATTAAACACTTGGACCATAAAAGGACACACACATTTTCTTCCTGCGCCTAAACCAACAGTGCAAGCCGAGGAGGAGCTCCGCTGGGGCCGGCAGGAGCTGACCGATCGGTCCGTGGAGCCCAGTTTGTCCCGCAGCAGCCGGACTGGACTGGAGCCTTCCACCTGCTGCTGCGCAGCGCAGCGCGCGCCTCGCGCTCCACGACAGGAGCGCTCAGCTCAGACCGGGGAGCCGAGAAAAGCTCATTTCTACGTTCTTCCAAGCTTTCATTAAAAAAACAAAGTAACGGGATCGACGCTGTTTGGACTCTATTAACATATTAAACTTTTTCTCCGCTCCTTACTGGATTAAAGTCCAGCTAAATTGAATTTTCTGACCGTTTCTCAGCATGAGTCTGAGCACTAACGGCTCCGGGACCGACCTGTTCCCTCTGGACACCAACTCCTCCTCTAACCGAACCGAGCACCCGGCCTCCACCGCCGCACAGCTGGACCTGAGCCGGGCGGTCCCGGTGGGCATGGTGCTGGCCTCCTTCATCATGTTCGCCATCGTGGGGAACATCCTGGTCATCCTGTCGGTGGTCTGTAACCGACACCTGCGGACTCCAACCAACTACTTCATCATCAACCTGGCCATGGCCGACCTGCTGCTGAGCACCACGGTGCTGCCGGTGTCCGCCACCCTGGAGGTAAATGAGAGCAACACTACGACCCACAGCTGCTAATTGGTTAATTAGTGGCTGTTTGCTGGACTAATTAAGGTTTACTTTAAACCAAACCCTGCTGGGAATGTTTAGTTCTTTGTGTTTGTTTTGATTTTGCACAATGTCCCAAAATCACATAGAGGAATAGATGATATTATCAATTACATGTAAAAAGTCTTGTATATAGTGTATATTGTATGGCAGTAGTGCTGTAAAGTCCATTGTTCAGTTTCCTCTACTGTTGCTGAATAAAGATTCTGGTAATGAAGTAGTAAAAAAAAAAATAATAATAATTGCATATTCAGTTGTTAGAAAAAATGACCCTAAATTACAGCATATATTGCACCATATTACCAGTATTAGTGGCCAATGCAGTGATTTTCTTGTAATTGTATCCACTGCAATTATAACCACACGATACAGGAATATATGGATCTGCATACAGCTTAAGTGATAATTTTATCAGTTGCCTTTAAACCAGATTTTCTTCCCTGTTTCGCATCTATTCTCTTTGTGACTCATGCATTTCTTGCACCTACATCTATTTCAGGTTTGAACATCATGGGCAGTGATAGTCCATCCAGCTGGTGGCCAGATCTATTGATTTCATGCACAGCATTAGTACATGTCTGGTGAAATATTATGGCTTGCTGTAAAGATTTAAATTGCATTTAAAATTGCAAGTCAATATTTTGTGCAACTTCTAGAAAAATGAAATGAAAATGATTTAATTTCATGCAGCTACAATCACACAGTTTATATTGCCATTTAAAACTCTTTTAAGGAAAAAAAGCAACGTTTCATTTCATTTTTATTTATTGTTTATTTGAAAGGGGACAGTGTATATTAATCAACATTAAAACAATGTAAATATACCAGAGTTAGCTAAGGAGTGCTAATTTTCATTGGTAGTCCCCCAGCCAGGTATAAAAAAGGTAACCTTAAAGTATAAAATCACAAGATAAAATTACAATACCAATTACATGAAAAACATTATGGTTAAGAAATACAATTCATGTAAAATAATAAAAAATTAAATTATTTAAATACACAGAAAACCTTAGTGCCCACAAATTTGGCTCTCTACAAGCCATTTTTTTGCATTCTTTTTGAATGAAGAGAATGACAAAGAGTCTCTGATGGTTTCCGGCACTGTGTTCCAGTGCTGAGATGCTCTTACGGAGAAGACAGCCTGACCAAAGGCTGTTTTTCAACGGGGGATGATGCAGTTTTCCCTCACTGCCCCTCTGGTTACCCTGATCTCACTGGATCTGAACTGTACAAAGTCACATAGTGGAGGTGGTGCTAAACCATGTCTGATTTTATAAATTAAACAGATGTTTTTGAACTTGATAAAATTGTTCCATGTAAGTAACTGATATTTCCTCAGAATACTACAGTGGTGGTAATGGTATGGTTTTTTTTATCTAGTATTTTTAATGCTTGTTTATATAATGTTTCTAATGGTTTTATTGTAGTAGAGTGAGTATTGGACCAACTTATTAGACAATATGTTATATGGGATAAAATCATGGGAAAAAAATATGATTTAGCAGCTTCAGTTGAAAGAAAACGTTGATAAAAGTAGTGTAAATACAATAATACGAAAACTGATAACTGGGAAACTGGGAAAATGGTAGACCAAGAACACCAATGCATAATCTTTATTTATTACGGTATTTTATTTATTACCTGAGTAAATATGACACCATCAAATACCCATCATGATGATATGTTTAAAGAAGGAAAAAATATATATATCTATACAACTTCAGGGAAAGGCTCTAATTTTAAGTGCTGTATGTGTTGTTGTAGGATGTTGAGTTATTGAGCATAATTTCACTCTAGAGGAAAATAAAAAGCAGCATTAGGAGCGATGAGTAGCTTATTGGTGATACTTAGGCAGCTGTTTCCCTACATAATTTGCTGTTTTAGGACCACAAATGATGCTTCTGTACTAATGGTTCTCACACTTTAGAATTTCCCTGTTTTTCCTCCATATTAAAGCCTCATTATGTCCTAATGCCCACAATGTTTCTAAAAATAAAATTCTTTGTCCTGTGTGTAATTAGAAGCTTGCATAACTTTCTGTCACAATTGGGTTAATGGCTTCTTCCTCACTGAGTGACATCTAACAAGATATATATATATCTATAGATATATAGATATACATATATATTATATGTATATCTTATGATGCTCGCTCACCAGCGTCACCAGCATCTTCACTGTGACTTTGTGAATTTTGCACAGAAACACATTCCTGAATTATTGGAACAGACAAACGATTATAACTAAACTGCGACCAAATGTTTGAATTTTTCCAAGATTTCACAGACAGGAGTGTGATTACTTACAAAGCTGTGCTGTCTTCATCATCTGCATCACCTGGTCATGTGATTTTGTATTTTTTTTAAGCATGCAGTAAAATCCCCACTCACCTAAAATATAATTCTAGAGACTGGTGAAGGTTCTCAGTCATCTAGGTCATAATCATCCCAAAAAAAGAAAATTAAAAACAATCTACTCAACTTTTTTTCCAAGTTTTAAGATGTTTCGCTTCCTATCCAGGAAGCTTTTTCAATTCAAAATATCAGAATTAGTGTTGAGTTTGAGGTTTTATACTGTAGCCCAACAAAGCCTTGTTTTTGTTATGAACAGATGAAGGGGTCCACCCCTTTGGAATTGGGGTCGTTTGGCTTCTTTTGTTAGACTGCAATACCCCATATCTGTCTAAGGCTACGTTCCCACAGCAGGCCTTGATGCTCAATTCTGATTTTTTTGCCTTTCGTTCACGTTTCCATATATATGTATGTGACTTGTATTTGATCTCCTGTGTGAACTGCAGTATTACAACTCAAGGGTCCCGCATGCGCAGTAGAGGCGCAATGACATCACATGCCGGTGTGCTCTGTGTTTACGGAAGTAAACATGGATGGTAGTGCCGGAGAGCATCTAGCGATCTTTCCCAACCATAAAAACACAATCTTTTCAAGGTGGTTAAACATAAATACTGCCCATCATCGTCCGCCATGGTTGTTGTTTTTCTTGCCGCTTCTTCATAGCAAGACCCAGAATAATTACCTTAGTCAGGTATCAATGGAGTTCAGGTCGGATTAATCCGACCTGGCCGTCCAGACATAGATCGCATTTGAAAAGATCAGGTTTGTATCGGATTCAGGACCACAGAGCCAAGTGGGCTGGGTCGCATTGGAAAAAAATCTGTGTTGTTCAGACAGCCATGATAAGATCAGATCCAGGTCGCATATGGGCCAAAAAATCGGATTTGGGTCACTTAAGGCTGCAGTGTGAACATAGCCTAAGTGTCTGAAAGAGAGGAGGAGGTGGGGCTGCGATAGAGTCCTGCAACGGGTCGGGTACCTGCGGGTCCCCGACGGGTCACCCGCTAAAATGCTCTTTTGCGGGTGAAAAAAATAAAAATAAACGGGTCGGGCGGATATTTTTTTAGTGCGGTAGTTGGTGATTTTTTTTTTTATGCGTGTGTGTTGTTATGGACATCAGAAATGTTATATTAATCAGGCACTGGGGTCACCCTTGTTGTAGCTTAAAGCCCTGCCGGCAGTGTGGGCTGCCCTCCAAAAAGGCCACAGTCAGTGCATACACGTCTGCTGCAGTGTTAATGGCGCTGTTCTGCAGCGCAGCGCACTATAGCCTATCACTTGATGTGTTAACGGGTCGGGTTGCGGGTTAAATATCAACGGGTCGGGTCGGGTTCGGATTTGAATTGAAGATATCCGCGGGTGACAGGTCGGGTTCGGTAGTGATCCTAATGGATTCGGGCGGGTGCGGGTTGGTAAAACTCGACCCGTGCAGGACTCTAGGCTGCGATGATAACGGGAAGGGATTAACTCAATTGCTCAAAAGCTTCCTGGATGGGAAACGAAACATCTTTAAACTTGGAAACAAAGTCAAGTGGATTGTTTTTAATTTTCTTTTTTGGGGAAATCTAGAGAAGCATGTTATGTGCGCATTAAGATCGGTATCGGCAGATGTCATTTTGACACATCAGTCTTGGTTCAATAAGTAGAACTGGGCTAATGTAACTGTCTTTATTGTAGGAGAGGGAAAGAAGTAAATGTGAAGGGGTTTTTTGTCGTATGACAGTGATATAGCAAAGGATTGTGGGTGTTTAACAGAGAGGCAATGTCAGCACTATGGTCGGTTTTCAATGGTGATCAAAGGGTAGATGTAGGAAACAATTTTGGTAAATATCTCTTATCAGCCATAATGGTGCATTCCTAAAAACAATTCTGTGATACTACTCTGACAGAGTGAGGTGGAAATGTATGTGTGTGCTTGTTTATAAGGTTTATGGAAATACAGACTTTCATCAAAAATAAATAAATAAAGCAGAAAAACAGAATATACAAAAGATAATTTATCAATGAAGGTGGACTGATGCAATTGTTCCAGTTTTTAGTCTTTATAACATGAGGAATAAAGGATTTATTTCCAGTTTTCTGTGCATGTACAACTTTAGGTCCTCTAGAATTTAAATAGAGTGAAGACCGTATAATGTCTGGAGTAAGAGGCAGAATCTGTATTTTGTTTGATGTTTAACTCAGATTTCTGTGATAATATGCTATAATTAAAAAGAAAATATTTTGAGTAATTGACCTTTGATCCATCAGCCTGTGTTCAGCACTATGTATTTTTTGAGTGACGCTCCCCGATCGGACATTTTTAAATTGGATTGTAAACAGTGACTGCCCCCAAACCCACAGCTTATTTAAGTTATAGCAGAAATTTGTTTTCCAAGAAATAAGAAAGAGTAACTGTTGGATCATAGCATCTGTTTTAATTTTCAGAGGACAAGGCACGTTTATTTCTATAGCACAGATCAGTACAAAGGCAATTTAAAGTGCTTTAAATAACTTAAACTATAATATAGAAGGAAAATAAAAGAAGAATAAAAGCAAGTAAAGATAAAAAAAAAAACAAGTAAAACTAACAAAACAGATGGACCACAAACTTAAAATAATAATACTTTAGTGAAAACTTTATCTTTAATATTCAAAGGCAATTCTAAACAAATGGGTTTTTAACTTTGACTTATAAGAACTCAGGCTTTCATCACTTTTCCAGTCTTTTTGAAATTTTTTCCAAATAAATGGAGCATAGGAACTAAACGCTTTTTCTCCATGTTTGGTTCTAGTTCTGGGTGTACAGAGTAGACTTGAACTACAGTACAAGACCTGAGTGGTCTGAGGTTTATACACTGACAACAAATCTGTTATACACGTAGATGCTAATCCAATCAGTGAATTATAGACTAACAGAAGGATTTTAACGTCCTTACCCCGAAATACAGGGAGCCAGTGGAAGGACTTCAGAACCGGACTGAAGTGCTCTACTCTCTTAGTTCTAGTGAGAACATGGGCAGCTGCGTTTTGGATCAGCTACAGCCGTCTGATGGACTTTTTGGGCAAACCATTGAAGACACTGTTGCAATGATCAATTGAAATAAAGATAAATGCATGACTGAGATTTTCTAGATCCCACTTGGACATTAGTCCTAAATTAGTAACTGCCTTTATGTGCCTCTGAAGGTTCAGGTCTGCAGCTTATTAGTATGAACTAACAAAAACCAAGGAGATGAAACACATCCCTGTGGAACACCTCTCACACATGCTGAATACATTGAGTTATAGGAAATATTTCCAGATGTAAAAATAAGTTACGGTTGGGATCTAAATGTCTAAAAGTCCCCATATAGTATTAATCTCATACTGTCTGGAAAGTTGGATGCAATTTATCAGGGGACAAATATTACGTAAATATAATCTATATAATAGACAGTAGAACTGTCCTAAAACATCTATTCTGTAAATTTTGATGTCTCTAGGTTTTGGGTTACTGGGTGTTTGGTCGAATCTTCTGCGACATCTGGGCTGCAGTGGATGTCCTGTGCTGCACGGCGTCCATCATGTCACTCTGTGTCATCTCCATTGACCGATACGTTGGCGTCCGCTATCCGCTGCAATACCCAATGGTGGTCACCAAAAGGCGGGCCCTGCTGGCCATGCTGGGAGTCTGGATCCTGTCCTTCGTCATCTCAATCGGGCCGCTGCTGGGCTGGAAGCAGCCACCGTCACAGGTACGCCGTCGGAACCAGCCAGGCTGAGTCAATCCATCCTGTTGTTATAGTGGAGGGAGACAGAACCCAGTGAACCACAACTTTGATGCAGTAAAGCTTGTTGAATTTATCACAACATCTGGGGCCCGTCTTGACTCGGAACGTCCCTGTTGGAAAGCTGTCTGGGCAAAAGGGAGACATCAGATTATGTTTTTTTCTAAATAAAACAATAATATTAGCTATTTATTAAACACTTTTAGGCCCCACAAATAACAGATAGAGTTTCATTAGAATGCCAGGGCCATGACCATCTGAAACCAGAGCAGGAAATATTTACTGACTTTAGCTTTGTTTATTTACACCCATGTGCTGTGGAACGCCACTGACTGCTACCATTCAGCCCAGCCTTCACCAATTTCTCCTTCCTGTGATGGAATTTCTGGAATTAGTTTGGATCAGCTGTTTTCCAGGTTTCCTGAAGGTGTTTATGGTTTTCTAGGACTTAGGATGCTTTTTCATTTAGCTTAAATATTTGTACCTGGACATTTTACACTGCAAAAACGATCTAGAAATAAGTAAATATTTCTTAAATTAAGTGTATTCATTCTTATTTTAAGTAGGTAAATGAGATAGTTTGCCAATGGAATTAGTATTTTTACTCTTAAAATAAGATAATTAGATAAAATGCACTTGAAATAAGACAATGCAATTGTGTTTACTTATTTTAAATGTAAATTGTCTTGTTCCATTGGCAAAAGGTCTCTTTTACCCCCTCAATTCAAGAACAAATGCACTTATTTAAAGAAAAAAATTACTTATCTATATTTAAATTTTTTCCAGTGTATCTTTGAGTGACTCTTAGCTATATAAATCATTCAGGCATAAAAGAACCATAAGCAGCGTTGTTTAAACTCATAATGGAGAACTTAACAAAAAACATATTGCAGATAAGATTCTCAGGCTCTTTGATGGACCGGCCCACACCCTCCAGTACCTCCATGATTATTTAGAAGTGGCTGGATTGTGGGATACCTGCTGCTGGTGCTTATTCCTCCTCCTTTGCCTCCTCTTCATCCACCTCCTCTTCCCTCCTTAAAGCTAAATATGTCACCAGAACTCTTTAAGCATGAGAGGAGTATTTCACATTATAACAACAGTCTGAAATGTTCACTGTATTTTCCACTCAACAAGCTTATCCAAAGTTTGGATAGGCTGGACTCCCTTTGCATACCATTCTCTAATTGCGAACATATTGATGATAACACTCTATTGATCTAGTCATTTATTCATTTGAGCTGCTTCATGAGATCCTTTTGGCTGCAGCCAGAGTTTTACAGGAAAGAAAGAGTGAAGCAGAAGTGCAGAATCTGATGATGTGCGTACCACCTCTCCTTTAAAGGAATAGTACACCCAAAACATGATTAGCCTTCATTTTCTACTCACCCCCATGCTGAACAACACTCTGGAGTACCTTTTTGATATCTCAAATGCATCTGGAGATCTGGGAGGCTTCTTGCTGTCTGCTGACATTCAAATAATGGAGGTCTATGGTGCCCGAGGCAGAAAGGTCCATAAAAGTCCACAAAAAACGTGTCAATATTCCTCCATACTGCTCGTCCAATGTATTCCAAGTGTCCTGAGTCGGTAGCGTCCATAATTTACTCGAAACGAAGTCATTTAGAATGTTTTAGAGCATAAACAGTAGTGTATAGGACTTCCTAAAAGCGCGCGCATGCGAGTTCACGAGTCTACGGAAACCGCGGCAGACCAAACCAGATGAAAGTGCGCATTTTACCATACAGAAATACATATGTTTAAACAATAATGACAAATCACATGAACTTTGCCACAGCGTTCTGCATCCAAACAGTGGAGGAATACCTGTTTCATGGTTTCATGATTCTAAAGAAAGTTGTGGTGCATTCATAAGATGAAAAGAGGGGACAGCCTGTCACTAAATATGTTTCTCAATCTTGTAGTTTATTATTTAAAACAGACGTAAACATAGCACAGGCAGAAAATTAGGTTTAGTCAACAAAGGTACTCTTAGTTTACAGTTGATAGTCTGTTGCCCACACTTTAACTATACTATACTAGGATTTGGTGGCTGTGGCATAGTAAGAACAGCAGTGTCACACTGCTGAAAAAGGCTTAAAAGATTAGACAAACAAGATGTATTAGACTTAAGCTAATTGTGCCTAAATGTTAAACAAAAAGGGGGCAAAATATAAAAGAAATAACATTTTTTGCCGCTTAGTGGGGAAACTAAGAAAAAAAATCTTTATTTCTCTGCGCTCCTCATCAGGGGATTAACCCTTGTGCCACACATAGTAGACGGTTGGATAACCACCGTGCTGATAGTCAAATCCACAGTGGAATCATCGTGGGCAGTTTTAGATAACAGCCTTTTTAAAATGAAGTGAATTACCATATGAACACAAATCAATCATTTCAATTCCAACATTTTTTGTCCTGAATTACTGAATGGAATTAGCCAGCAGTGTCAAACAGCACTGCTCACAGCTTGCCTCAAGCATGCTTCCAATTTACCATTTTTTTATGCCATGAAATCCAACACTGTATTTGCAAACAAACAGTAAGAAGATTGCAAAGATAAACACCCGTGTCTAAGGACCTGTGGCAGAACTTTATACTTGCTAAGGCGGACGTACACTGTGCGATTTTCAGGGCGATTTTCCAGTCGTGCGAGAATCTTTCGACTTTCATCCTGATCGTGCGTTGTGTAGTGAACAGGGGGTAACGAGGGGCGATCAGCCTCTCACGACCACCTCCTGATCAGGAATCGTGATCAGGATGTCCCGACCGTCCTGGGCAAATCGCTCAGTGCGCAAAGAAGGATTCTTCTTTTTCTTCTTCCTCTCAGATGTAAACACAGAAGCATGGCAGGGATGCAATGAGTGAAATGCAGTTCTGTCTGTAAAATTGACAGACCGTAGTAGCCACGTTTGATCAGCCATGTCTGTTTTCCAAATACGAAAGTACTGAAAAAATCGCACAGTGTGATGCTGTGCATCACACGTGTTAAACAAGAGATTGGTGCGCACAAACCTGATGTAGAAAGAAACTGAAGTTTGCCGGGTGCAAGGTTCTAAAGAAAAACAGATCTAAAAACAAGCAATTCGTTCTACATTTAAAACTCATGAACTTAAGATTTACAGTAAATAGATGACATGCTTAAATTTGTGCATCTAAATAAAATGAGCTAATGTAGCCAAAACACTTTTTGTTTTGGCCCGCATTAAATCATTATACCCCCTGATATATGTGATGCCATTACTCTGGCTACCAAACATACAGTATTTATCTGACTCTCCACCTCACTTGTATGGAGGATAAAAAGTGCCAAAATTAAATAAATAAATACAGCATTAAATAAATAATTAAATGTGTCAATAATTAATTAAATGTGGAATTAAATAAATAAATGTGTCATTCATTAATTAAAACCACGTCACTAATATAAAGGGCCACAATTAAATAAATAAATACAGCGATAAACAATTAATTAAATGTGTAATTCATTAAATAAATAGGGAATTAAATATATGTGTCATTAATTTAATAAAATACGTCTTTATTTTATAAAAAAAATATATATATAATTATTTCAGTGTGCATTTAATTATTTTATGGTCCTTTGTCACAGTGCATCGAAACCATTAAAAGATTCTGTCAAACTCACCCATCAAAGTTAGGGGGCGCTTATCTAACACCTGATTGGTCACCCTGCACATTAAGGCGAAGCAAAGCGATTACAGAGACTCGATTCGCGTTAACCCCGCCCCCTAACTTTGGTGGGTGAGTTTGACAGATTCTTTTAATGGTTTCGATGCACAGGACCATGAAATAATTAAATGCACACTGAAATAATTATATATATTTTTTTAATAAAATGAAGACGTATTTTATTAAATTAATGACACATTTATATATTTAATTCCTTATTTATTTAATGAATTACGCATTTAAATTGTTTATCGCTGTATTTATTTATTTAATTGTGGCACTTTATATTAGTGACGTGGTTTTAATTAATGAATGACTTATTTATTTAATTCCACATTTAATTAATTATAGACACATTTAATTATTTATTTAATGCTGTATTTATTTATTTAATTTTGGCACTTTTTATCCTCCATACACTTGCACCAACACATGTATTTCTACCTAGCTAAATTGTATCTTTTGCAGTCTTTCTTGTGGTTGCCATTGGTAACCATAACATAACACTGGCTCATTTAAATATACAATAAGTTAAATATTTACATTAAAATGATCCCAAATCATTCCCATTTGTCATCTGGGATGGAACTAACATTCCCTGTATACAAATAGTCCTCTCCATCAATAATGTCTTAGCCAAGTTTTCTTTCTTTCAAACCTAGAGCTGCGGTCTGAAACTACTTTGGTGTAGTGTGTTACGTCCACCTGGCTTGTTAGGTGGAGTAACATTAATGGAGACCACACAAGGATTTTCAGAGTTGATGAAAAAGGAAATTTATTAAATTATATTAAGTAAAACCTAAAAAAGGATTACCTGAAATAAGAAGCCAAAACAGATTAATACAAAACCCATAACCAATTAGAGATAAACACACGCAAAACAAACCTAACAAAACTCAATCATAAAGTCCAAACCAAACCAACTGGAGTTCTGAAGAGGGAGAGGAGGAAAAAAGCCTCCTGACTGCTGCAGCATGACAGCTTTTAAAGCAGCAGAGCACCAATCAGGGAAAAAATATAACACCTGCAGAAGGCCTGCCTCCAGAACCCTAAAAGAAAAAGCAGAGACCTACTGCAGCCGTAACACCTCCCCCCTTAAAACAGAGGATCCCAACAGGGACCTCTGTAACAATCTCAGCTTTTTGGACAAACCACAGTTTAATTATTCTCTGAGCCTTTTGAAGATACTCAGAGGCTAGTTTGCCAGCCAAGTTCAAAGCATAGGCTGCAGGATAACAAGTGCTTCTACACATAACTGTCAGCAAATACACAGATCCTGACTTTGAAGGAATGAGTGGGCCAACAATTTCCCTGTCACTATACGGCAACCATTCACGTACCAACAGATCTTTTTGTAGAAAATATCCACTTGACACTTTTGTGTCCTGTTCAGCTGCCTGGACTTGGTCAAACAGAGCAGCTAAAGTTGTGTCCTCTTGCTGGACTGTAATCAACGCACTGAGTGACAAAGGAACAGGAAGAGTTGGCAAACAGGCAGTCTTCTCAAGAATAGAACCAGGCTTACCAAACTCAACCTCCTTATCAGCCACAGTTACTGCACAAACTGGAAAAGCCTCAGGAAAGTCTCGAGCACATACGTCTGACCAAGAAACGGGTGGACAAGCTCGGACCACTGGAGGGGGTGCAACATCTCGCCACACACGTCCACCTGCCAGATTGTTTCCTAGAATGAGAGATACACCTTCCACAGGCAAAGAAGGACGAAGAGCTATAGTTACCTCTCCTTGTACAAGTTCTGACTGCAAGTAGATCTTATGAAGAGGCACAGAGAAAGTTTCCAACCCAATACCTCCAATTAAGACACTACAACCAGTATCAGATAAAGGAGAAAATGGCAAAACAGATTCCAATATGAAAGATTCAGATGCTCCGGTGTCACGTAGAATCTTCACAGCCACTTTATTTGAACTGCCACTCAAAGAAACAAACCCATTTGTGATGAAAGGTGCATAGTCTTGTCCGACATCCTTCTCACAAATCTGGGGATCTGTAACAGTCAGTTCTGAAAAAAACTTATAGTCAACAGGTACAGCTAAAACAGTTGGTCTTACACTTTCAACTTTAGCTGGATGCGTAGACTCCACTGAATGCAACTGTGAAACGCTGGCTAAAGCAACAGGTTTTTGATTATCTCGTTTACTCCTAGCCGATTTCATTTTGGTATTCAGAGGACACTCATTTTTCTAGTGTCCTTTCTGGCGACAATAGTTACAAACAGAGTCTGCTTTAGATTCCACTCCAGTCTTACCAGAGAACCTATCCTGATGAGATTCCTGAAAGCTATAGCTGCCTTTCCAATTGTAATCACTCACAGTTTTATGGATCAGAACATACTCATCTGCCAAGACAGCAGCTTTAGCAGCAGTTTTTACCTTTTGCTCGTTAACATATGTGGCAACCCGATCTGGAATAATGGTCTTGAACTGTTCCAACACCATCAAATCACAAAGGGATTCAAACTCCTTCACACCTTCAGCTGATAACCAACGATAAAACTGGGTGTTTAGTTGTCTGACTAGATCTGTATTTGTCTGTTTTTCAGCCTTCCTGCAGTTCCTAAATTGTTGCCTGTAATGTTCAGGAACTAGTTCATAAGCCTTCAAAACAGCTTCTTTAACAGATTTGTATACCTTTCTTTCAGCTGATGTTAATGAAACATAAGCTTCTTGGGCCTTACCCACCAGCACACTTTGCAGCAGAATAGAACAATCACGATCACCCCACTCATTGTCCCCTGCCAGGTCCTCAAACAAAGAAAAAAATACATCAGGATCTTGTTCATTAAACTTGGGTACCAGCTTCAACATGTTAACCAAGTTATGTCCAGAAAACCTATCACCACCTTGAGACAGATGGAAAGATCCACCACTTAACCTGCCCTCAGACATCAACTTCAAGCGCTCAGCTTCCAAAGATAATTTCTTAACCTCCAACTCATGTGCATACGCTAGCCTCTTTTCTTCTTGTTCATGCGCTAGCCTCTTTTCTTCTTGTTCATGCGCTAGCCTCTTTTCTTCTTGTTCATGCGCTAGCCTCTTTTCTTCTTGTTCATGTTCATGTGCTAGCCTCTTTTCTTGTAAAGCTAGTTTTCTCTCCTCAAGCTCATGTGCTAGCCACAATTTTTCCACCTCAAACCGCATTTCCATCTCAGTTCTCATAGATTGAAACTTTAATTGAGACTCTTGAGATACCGTTGGACCTGGCGAGTCATCATCCAACTTTAAAGCACCAGTTAAAGAATCTATGCCCCGGGAAGTTACATCTGACACATCAGCATCTGAAAAAGAAATGGCAAAGACATTTAGTTGTACAAGTTTGTCTTTTAAGAAACTCCTTAATTGAGGTTTTTTAAATCCTTTTGCAACTCCAAGGTTAATTTCAAAGTGTTCAGCTACTTGATGAATCTGCTCCTTAGTAAGCTTTTCCAACAGTTCTAAAGTTGGGGAAGCCAAAAAAGAACCCACAGTATCCATTTTCAACAAAAAATAATCCAACAAACCAACCTAATCAGAAAACACCAATTTTTTGTTTTTCTTTTTGTTTTTTGTTTTTTTTAACCAACAATCAGGAAGTGCATAACTGGTACAAACAAATGGCAAAACTCCATTATCCTACTACTAACTAACCAATCAAAGCCCTGACTAAACTTAGCTTAGTCTTCAGGCTTTCCTCCAAGAGCCAAGGCACTTTAAGCACCAAGATACCGCTGGCAGCAAATCCCTCCAGGCCAAAACCTCTCAGGCAGCAAACCACGGCGGTGCCCTCAGCCCAGAATCCAGCCCAAAAATAACGAACTAAAATAATAAACAGGGTCGATTAAAATGGAGTTGCCAAAACAACAAACACCAGATAGCACTTACCTGACACAAAACAAAGAGACTTCTCCCCCCCCCCCTCTAACAAAAGAGCAAAAATCCTCATGGACCTCCAACAACAGACATATGGAACACCAAAAATGTCCAAAATCTAGTAAGGTTCCAAAGACCTTAAAGTAGCCCAAAAACCCACAAACAACCTGCAACAGAGGAAAACCAAAATCAGGGGCATGTAACTGCAACCTGAAGACAAACAATGAGGCCAATTAAGCATAATCAGTCCACATGAATCGGACAAGCCCCCACAATGTTACGTCCACCTGGCTTGTTAGGTGGAGTAACATTAATGGAGACCACACAAGGATTTTCAGAGTTGATGAAAAAGGAAATTTATTAAATTATATTAAGTAAAACCTAAAAAAGGATTACCTGAAATAAGAAGCCAAAACAGATTAATACAAAACCCATAACCAATTAGAGATAAACACACGCAAAACAAACCTAACAAAACTCAATCATAAAGTCCAAACCAACTCGAGTTCTGAAGAGGGAGAGGAGGAAAAAAGCCTCCTGACTGCTGCAGCATGACAGCTTTTAAAGCAGCAGAGCACCAATCAGGGAAAAATATAACACCTGCAGAAGGCCTGCCTCCAGAACCCTAAAAGAAAAAGCAGAGACCTACTGCAGCCGTAACAAGTGTGTGGCTCATGTTTACTTCCTAGATCCTAAGCCAATCATATGAGAGTTCCCAGGGTTCCCAACATAGCCCAGCATTCAGAATTTTATGTTGGCAAAAGAGCAGCAGCCTAAAAACTTTTATAAAATCACACATTAAACACTTAATACGGATCCTATGCAATATTTTATAGATGAGACTCCAAGTTTACATGTAGCTTACCACATCTGGCAGTAATAAATATCCTGGTTTGTGTTATCCCTGCCAGACTGTTTCATATTCCATTGCTTTAACTTATTTCAATAAGTATTTCAGTTTTTCTATAAAAAGAAATCCACATCAACTGTCTGCCTAGATCTGTTTGCAATTAAATTTTTTTCCGGCAGCAGATGACGGCTGTCTCATGAACAGCTTCCTAAAATCTGTTTCAGGACATCAACAGACAGTTTTCCATCTATTTGTTCGTGTCACTATTGGGATCATCTGTGGGTCATAAATGTTTCATTCCTCCTTCCAATGATGATGGTGAGGATTGCATTTTCAGTTTTTTTTTTTTTGTTGTTTAACACAATTTTATGGAGAGCCTGTGGAAAATTATAAAAAACGTTTTTTTCATATATTTTCAGTATTGATATTCTAAGTCATGTTTGGTAAAGTTAAGCTGCTGACTTTCTCATATTTTGTTGCAAATAAGGGAAATGTTAGTTTATTCTTAGTGAAAGGGTCTGGGAATCCAGGCTCATAGCCCTGTGCAAAATTGCACAATGATTTATGTGATTTATAGAGAACCACAGGATTTTATGTACTTTCCATTCACTCATCATGGGCATATTATTCTGGGGCTTTTAAGGATTTGCTAGATTTGTTTTTCTCAGGATGGGGTGATTATACTTCATGCAACTTTAATTATTTTATTATAAATAGTTTCGATTTATTGGATTTAATCTTATCCAAACAGGGTAAAATTATATACATAAGTTGAACATTTACCATAAGCTTTATTAAGCCGTCAGGAATCTTCATAAGTGTTTAATTAGTCTAGATTGGGGATTAAAACTCCATTTTAATATATGAAAATCATTATTGTGTTGGAAAACTCAGCAGAAGCAGGAGAATCTGGTGGTCCCACTTGTTGTTTTAGCAATGCATTTTTACTTCCAGCAGTGAAACACCCCCACTGCATGATGTTCGTGTGAGCAGCAGCTAGTTTCTGTCCTCATAGTCACACTGCCTCTCCTGGTTATTTGGCTCTAATCAAAAGCATTACAAAACACAGTTTGAAGATGTGAACAACATTTCTGCTGTCATTTTATAAACCCAATTGCTTAATAGAATTTTCCCTGTGCCATAGTTCATATCAGGTAAAGTTCTGCTGATTCTGTCCATCCTACAGGACGACACGGTGTGTCTGATCACAGAGGAGCCGTTCTACGCTCTCTTCTCCTCTCTCGGTTCCTTCTACATCCCTCTGGCCGTCATCCTGGCCATGTACTGCAGAGTGTACGTGGTGGCCAAACGCACCACCAAGAACCTGGAGGCCGGCATGATGAAGGACCAAGCCAAGGACTCCAATGAGCTCACCCTGAGGATTCATTGCAGGAACCAACAGATCCATGATCTGTGTCCGCCCTCCAAAGCAGGAGTGGGCGGGGCTACGGCAGGGCGTAACGCACTTACCGTCAAGCTGCTCAAGTTCTCTCGTGAGAAGAAAGCTGCCAAGACATTGGGTGTGGTGGTGGGCATGTTCATCCTCTGCTGGCTGCCCTTCTTCTTGGTTTTACCAATCAGTAAGTGCAAATCACAACTATACCCTTTGTCTATTTATTAAAGGAATAGTACACCCAAAACATGATTAGCCTTCATTTTCTACTCACCCCCATGCTGAACAACACTCTGGAGTACTTTTTTGATATCTCAAATGCATCTGGAGATCTGGGAGGCTTCTTGCTGTCTGCTGACATTCAAATAATGGAGGTCTGTGATGCCCGAGGCAGAAAGGTCCATAAAAGTCCACAAAAAACGTGTCAATATTCCTCCATACTGCTCGTCCAATGTATTCCAAGTGTCCTGAGTGGGTAGCGTCCATAATTTACTCGAAACGAAGTCATTTAGAATGTTTTTAGAGCATAAACAGTAGTGTATAGGATTTCCTAAAAGCGCGTTCATGAGTCTATGGAAACCGCGGCAGACCAAACCAGACGAAAGTGCGCGTTCGGCTCGGCAAAGAACTCATGCTCTTCCTCAACACTGAAGTCCTCAGACATTTTTCTTTCGTTGTTTCTTTCTTTGCACAGGTAAACAGCACATTTCTTCTTCTACGCTTGCATTATCGGCAGACGCTGAATGCGCACTTTCATCTGGTTTGGTCGGCCGCGGTTTCCGTAGACTTGTGAACGCGCTTTTAGGAAATCCTATACACTACTGTTTATGCTCTAAAAACATTCTAAATGACTTCGTTTCGAGTAAATTATGGACGCTACCCACTCAGGACACTTGGAATACATTGGACGAGCAGTATGGAGGAATATTGACACGTTTTTTGTGGACTTTTATGGACCTTTCTGCCTCGGGCGCCACAGACCTCCATTATTTGAATGTCAGCAGACAGCAAGAAGTCTCCCAGATCTCCAGATGCATTTGAGATATCAAAAAAGTACTCCAGAGTGTTGTTCAGCATGGGGGTGAGTAGAAAATGAAGGCTAATCATGTTTTGGGTGTACTATTCCTTTAATCATTTGCTGTTTATGCAGATGCATACACAGGTAAACTATATATATATATAGGTACGAGCCTCCTATTGGATAATGACTGCATGGGCGATTATCTTTCAGCTGGCAACAAGTTATTTAACCCCAATTGGTGCAATGACTTGCTTCTCATTCCCTAAACAAGCATGTCGAAAGACACATCCCGTGGTCGTGGAAAAGATGTTAGTCTGTTTGAGAAGGGTCAAATCATTGGCATGCATCAAGCAGAGAAACATCTAAAGAGATTGCAGAAACTACTAGAATTGGGTTAAGAACTGTCCAACGCATTATTAAAAACTGGAAGGATAGTGGGGACCCATCATCTTCAAGGAAGAAATGTGGCCAGAAAAAAATCCTGAATGATCGTGATCGGCGATCACTTAAATGTGTGGTGAGATCAAATCGAAGAAAAACAACAGTAGAACTCAGGGCTATGTTTAATACTGAAAGTAAGAGCATTTCCACAAGCACATTGCGAAGTGAACTCAAGGGATTGGGACTGAACAGCTGTGTAGCCGTAAGAAAACCACTAATCAGTGAGGCTAACCAGAAAAAATTGCTTCAATTTACTAGGGGGGCATAAAGATTGGACTGTGGAGCAATGTAAGAAGGTCATGTGGTCTGAAGAGTCCAGATTGACCCTGTAACAGAATGATGGGCGAATCAGGGTAAGAAGAGAGGCAGGTGAAGTGATGCACCCACCATGCCTAGTGCCTACTGTACAAGCCTGTGGGGGCGGTGTTATGATCTGGGGTTGCTGCAGTTGGTCAGGTCTAGGTTAAGCAACAGTATGTGCTCAAAGAATGAGGTCAACTGACTACCTGAATATACTGAATGACCAGGTTATTCCATCAATGGACCTTTTCTTCCCTGGTGGCACAGGCATATTCCAAGATGACAATGCCAGGATTCATCAGGCTCAAATTGTGAAAGACTGGTTCAGGGAGCATGACACATCATTTTCACACATGGATTGGCCACCACCAGTGGTGGGGAGTAACGGATTACATGTAACAACGTTACGTAATTTAATTACAAAAACAGAGTAACTGTAATTCGTTACAGTTACAATGAGAAAATATGTAATTCAGTTACAGTTACTTCCGAAAATATTAAGAATTACAAATTTACACAGAGGGCGTTTTCATCATTGCTGGAGATTTTAATCAGGCGAATATGAAAACTGTTCTCCCTCATTTTTATCAACACGTGGATTTTGCTACTCGTGGAGAGAACACTCTGGACTTAGTTTATACAAACATAAAAGACGCATTCAGAGCAGCCCCCCGCCCCCACATCGGCTCCTCAGACCACCTTTCTGTGATGCTAATTCCTGCATACAGACCCCTGCTGATCAGAGCAAAACCTACAGTGAAGCAGGTGAGGGTCTGGACGGAGGGGGCCATGGATGCACTCCAGGACTGCTTTGAATGCTCTGAATGGGACATGTTCAAATCAGCAGCAACATATGACAACAAGATCAATGTTGATGAGTACGCCATGACTGTTTCAGCCTACATCAACCACTGCATCGAGGACGTCAGCACAACAAAGACCATCACCACCCGAGCCAACCAACGGCCCTGGATGACTGAGGAGGTCCGCCACGCGCTAAAAGCACGGAACTCAGCCTTCAAGTCTGGTGACAAGGAGGCACTGAGGACAGCTAGAGCCACCCTGAACCGTGCCATCAGGTTAGCAAAGCGGAACCATAACCAGAAAATCCAGCATCTGTTCCACGACGCCAACAACACCAGGAGCATGTGGCAAGGCATACGGGCGATCACAGACTACAACACGCCCCCTGCCCCGGTGGATGAAGTTGATGCTGACTTCCTAAACGGACTAAATAACTTCTTTGGGAGGTTTGAGGCACTAAATCGCACTCCAGCAGTGAAGGCTGTCCCACATCAGGAAGAGGAGGTTCTCTGCCTTGACACAGCCGACGTGTGGAAGACTCTGAGGAGGGTCAACCCGCGGAAGGCCCCAGGTCCCGACAACATACCTGGGCGGGTGCTCAAGGAGTGTGCAGGTCAGCTAGCTGGTGTCCTCACGGACATTTTTAACACCTCGCTGGAGCAAGCCACAGTGCCAGCATGCTTCAAGTCTGCCTCCATCATCCCAGTGCCAAAGAAACCTCAAGTCACCTGCTACAACGACTACCGGCCCGTCGCACTGACTCCCATCATGATGAAGTGCTTTGAAAGGCTGGTAAAGGAACACATCGTCTCCAGTCTCCCCCCAACACTCGACCCGTTCCAGTTTGCCTACCGGCGAAACCGCTCCACTGAGGACGCCATCTCCTCTGCTCTTCACCTGAGCCTGGCCCACCTGGAGGAGAAGAACACCCACGTGCGGATGCTGTTCCTGGACTTCAGTTCAGCGTTTAACACCATCATCCCACAGCACCTGGTGGGAAAGCTGGAACATCTGGGCTTCAACACACCCCTTCGAAACTGGCTGCTGGACTTCCTCACCAACAGACCTCAGTCAGTCCGGGTCGGTCAGAACACCTCTGATGTCATCACCCTCAGCACGGGCTCCCCTCAGGGCTGCGTCCTGAGCCCCCTGCTGTTCACCCTGATGACATATGACTGCGTCCCCAGGTTCACCACCAATCACATCGTGAAGTTTGCGGACGACACCACGGTGGTGGGCCTCATCAGGGACGACAACGACCGGGACTACAGAGAGGAGGTGGAGCAGCTGGTGGACTGGTGCAGTGAAAACAGTCTGATCCTGAACGTGGAGAAGACGAAGGAGATCATCGTCGACTTCAGGAAAAACCGCCCCCACCATGCTCCACTGCTCATCAACAGCTCAGCTGTGGAGGTGGTCAGCAGCACAAAGTTCCTGGGGGTGCACATCACGGACAACCTCACCTGGACTGTAAACACTTCATCTCTAGTGAAGAGGGCACAGAAGCGCTTGTACTTTCTGCGGAGGATGAGGAGAGCCCGCCTGCCCCCGCCCATCCTCACAGCCTTCTACAGAAGCACCATAGAGAGCGTTCTGACCAGCTGTCTCTCTCTGTGGTGTGGAGGCTGCAGAGCTTCTGACTGGAAGAATGTGAGGAGGGTGGTGAGGACAGCGGAAGGAATCATTGGGGCTCCTCTTCCCTCCATTAAGGACATTTCATCACAGCGCTGTGTGTCCCGAGCCCGTAATATCATCAAAGACCCCTCACACCCCCACCATGGACTGTTCTCCCTGCTGCCCTCTGGAAAGAGGTTCCGCAGCATCCGCTGCAGATCCACCAGGTTGTGCAACAGCTTCTTCCCCACTGCCATCAGACTGTTGAACCTTTGATCCACAATCCGAACTCTGCACCTATTGCACATTATCGGGCATCAAATGCTGCTGAACTTTTAACTTTTAGCCCTTTAAATTGTTCATCTCATTGTATTTTTCAATAACGCATTTTTTGCACAAATGCCATTTTGCACTGAACCACTGCAACTTGCACACTGTCTCTTATCCTCTGCACTGTTCACACTTTGACCACTGCTGCACTTTTTGTATTTTTCTATAACTCGTGCCATTGTGAAATATCAATGCAACGTTCATAAGCTGTATGTAACGCAATTTCGTTCTGTATGCACCCTGTGCATACAAAATGACAAATAAAGAAGTCTAAGTCTAAGTCTAGTTTCATTTTTTTAAAAATATAAAGAAAAACCTTTGCGAAATATGTACAGTAATGATATTTTTATTGCTTCGCGCCCTGTATCGCCGTTTCCCACTACGGCTCCTTGTCTCTATCATATTTGCCACTCTGATGATCCATCCTGTGCTGGTGGAGCCTCCTTGAGGAACAGCAAGCGAGCAGACGGTTCTATTTCAGCTCAAGCAGCGCATCAAAAATGACAGCCTTCCAGCACTGGAAATTTAAGGAGCATTTCATTTACATCTGTGAAATTGGCTCAAATTTAACCGTGCAGTGCAAGAAGTGTTTGCCGGCTATCAACCTGAACCTGCTTGTGTTAGTCTGCAAACTGCGTAAATGGTAGAGCCTGGGGTAGGATCAGAAAGAGTATGGC